TAAATTAAAAAAAGTTAAAGCAAACCGCTCTACCGATTCAATCCAACAGATCTACCACCAAAACACTCAAAATGCATCTTACCAATCTAATGAGCTCAACCGGTTCAGCTGCTTTTCGAATCCGAACTGATTCCTCCATTTTCCTAATCTGATCTGGAGTGTACTCAAGAGCTGAACCAATATATTAACAGAACATTTCCTTGATTAAACAAGCATTCAACATTGAGAAACCTCATAATTTGAAACTGGGTTCTCACAAAAAGACCTCAAACAGCAAGTGGGCCATTCAAAGCAACAAGATTTGAACAAAGCTTATAAAATCACAAGCTAGAGAGAGAGAGAGAGAGAGACGTACTGGGACGTGAATCTCTGTCGGAGTAGATGTACAGAGAAGCGTAGAGAGAACGAAGAACATATAGAGCAACAACAATGTTAATGGAGCAAACGATGAGAGTGGTCTTCTTGTACGAACAGCCCCATTTCGCTCTACCTTTAAATCCCCATTCTCCTACCCGAGCCATTCCTTCGTGTCTTCTCCTTCATCCCACCATATCCACTTACCTCGTCACAGATCGATCATCATCAGAGACAGATCAAAACCCATAAGCCTTAAACTTTCGAAACGTGGCTCCTGTTGAGGACACAACCCAGGTCTTCTTTTGCACAGGCTATTCGTACGGAGCGGTGAAATGAGTGTTTTTGGGCTTCTGGGTTTTTCTTGTCGTGCCTAATTTGCTGCGATTTTGTGGAATTAATGCAAAGCCGTCGTTATGCAGTGATTATAAATAAATACAAAAATTTACTGGGGATGGGAAGCTATTAAAATAATGATTAAAATTAATGAACAATGAGGTGCCCAGGGGAGGGAATTATTAGGAAGATAGGTATTGATTATGGTGTTTTCTCAGATGATTCCGTGATTGTTGCTGTTTGCTCGGTAGTGGTGGAAGCCTAATCAACCTGTTTGCCGTGCCTCCTGTGCCTTGTGCTAACGTGCGCTTTAGGTGTAGGCCCTGTGTTTTCCTTTTAAAAAAGGTAACATTTTACTATTTACCTCCATTTTTTCGTTGGTACAAACATTTACCCTCCATTTCATCTCCTTCAATAATTTGTGTGTACAAACTTTATCATTAAAGTGGCCCAAAATAACAACTTTATCATTATAGAAAGCTACTTTGTGAGCAACATTTTAATTGAAAAAAGTACACAAAAAATTCTGATGGGCTTGATCAAATCTAATTGTGACCACGGTAGCAATAAGATTCTAGTCCATTTCATGAGTTACAAATAATACAAAGTGAAGTTTAAGTAATTCGATCTATTTTTATGGAGATGTAATCGATCTCGAGCGCAATTCTTAGTCCACATAAAATAGGCAAACCATTATTTATTGCTTGATGTAACTTTATAATAAAACGCGTATTGAATTTCTTATTTCGTGATTAAAGGATTGCATCATAGTTTTGGACTCTATATGAGATATACCTATCACTCGATTTATACATTTTTGTATTTATTTTGTGTACAACAATGAAAGATGTGATGTGCCACATACCTATCACGCGATTTACACGCAAATAGTTAATAAGGATAAATGGGCCGATGCTCAGCCCAAGCCCAGTTTTCACACCGAAAGGGAAAAATCGCGGGAAAATGCAGAACTGGAGAAGCAGCTTTTATTAGGGCGCGCCCTTTGAGTTGAGACTTGGAGTGATTTGGGGGCTACCATCAAATTGAAATCAAAGTCATGGAGATGAACGATGGCGATAACGAAGAGTTTGGGTTCTCCAGAAATTACTTTCTGGCAAAGGAGCTCCGTGGCTCCGGCAAGAGATCTCATTCTAAGCTCTCTGATATTGACGTCGTTGACGAACCGGTAATGCTGGGTCGCCTTCAATTCCTTCAAAATCTCCCATTTATTTTGTTGTTTTGGTTAAACCTTGAACTTTGGCTGATTGGTTATTGTTTGTTTTCTTCTAATGTGCAGGAACTGATTGCAGCAGCATCTAAAATCGAACCAAAACATGAGAAAGAGGTCAAGGAATTGATGAACAGTTATAGGAGTTCGTACCCTGAATGGGCTTTTGAGCTGAGGTATTCTCCTACCTTGTAGATTAATCAGCAATGTCTCAAATGCTCTTCTTTTAAATTATCATTTGTGTAGATTGGGATCTAATGTAGGAAGATTGCTTTCAAGTTAATTTTTGTGCCAATAGAGAAAATAAATTATCTTTCTGGCTTCTTATGCTACAAATTGTAGTGTTTTTTTGTACTCGAGAGTGTTGCCTATGGCAATTGGTGCCCTGATGCATTTATTAGATGGGCAATTGGACTAGTATTTTTGTACCAGGATGAATTGCATTGTTTTCTTTTAGCAATTGATTGACTTCTGGACTTGATGCCTGTTATTTATGAATCAGTTTCGATATAAATTGTAGTTTAAAGTTTTGAGATTTCCCTTTGTTTTATTGTTTCTTAGTTATTAATTTGTGGGCAGGTGGTTTTGTCTTACACTTATCTCTTAGCTTATACTATTTGTACTGTTGTTGAACATCTATTTTGTATGTTCTTATTCACCCATTTTATTGTTCTTAGATGTGGTCTTGGCCTTCTTATGTATGGATTTGGATCAAAGAAGGCCTTGCTTGAAGATTTTGCTTCAACATCATTGACCGAGTATTCTGTGGTTGTTGTCAATGGATATCTTCCGGGAATAAATATAAAACAGGTATTATTTACTTGGGATACAAAATAGTCATAATTCGTTTTCCCATAATATCATGTTTACACATACATAAGAGCTTATGCCCGCTCCAAAGCAATATGCGAGTTTTCTGGATTTTCCAATTGTGTGGTTTATTCTTATTGGCAATATGATTTTTGATTCCTGCCCTACCATGTCATACGCAAGCTACAATGAACTTTGTGAACAATGTGCTGATCACCTTGAGCGCACTTAAGTTGTTCTGAGGTGGCCAAGCCCATCTTCCTCGTATGAAAATATGACAAAACCTGGAAGAGAAGAAATGGAAATAGATCCAAACCCAGGACAGGCATATGCCCTCAAGGCTAATTTGTGAACGGCAACATTCAACATTATCATTTCTGTTAACATGCTATCTAATGTTTGAAATACAGGTTGTGGCAGCCTTAGCTGAACTTCTGTGGGATCAACTGAAATCCAAAAGAAAGAATCCCGGGAGCTCTTCCAAAGTTCAACAGCCATTTAGTTCTAGATCCATGGATGATCTTCTTGCATTTTTGGATGAGGATAGGACAAACGAATGTTTTGTATACGTTGTCATTCATAACATTGATGGGCCTGGATTAAGGGACTCTGAAACCCAACAAGTTCTTGCACGAGTTGCTTCTTGTTCCCATATTCGCATGGTGGCCTCTATCGATCATGTGAATGCACCTCTTTGTAAGTCTATTCTTGCTATAATTTGTTATATAATGGATAACAAACTGTCTGCATGAAACAAATGCTGCATCAAAGAATTGCATATGTCATCAAGTTTAATCACACCTTCTTTGCCTTAAATAGTGTGGGACAAGAAGATGGTTCACACACAGTTCAACTGGTGCTGGCATCATGTTCCTACCTTTGCGCCATACAAGGTTGAAGGAATGCTCATTCCCCTGATTCTTGCACATGGAAATACCACCCAAAGTGCCAAAAGTGCTACAATAGTTTTGCAGAGTTTGACATCCAATGCCCAGAGTGTGTTCAAAGTTCTTGCAGAGTATCAACTATCTCATTCTAATGAAGAAGGTAAGTAGCTATAAAAGCCTACATGAACTCTTCGAAGCTTTAACTTTTCTAATCCATTGATCATACATTATCTGAATACGTATCGGTTTCTCAGGTATGCCCGTTGATAATCTGTATGCAAGCTGTCGAGAGCGCTTCCTAGTGAGCAGCCAGCTTACGCTTAACTCCCATTTGACAGAATTCAAAGATCACGAGTTGGTCAAGACCAAAAGGAATTCTGATGGCCAGGATTGCTTGCACATCCCTCTCACAAATGAGGCACTTGAAAAACTCATAGCGGAGCTCAGTCAGTGACAACTTGTTAAACTATTCGGGCCTCAAAGATTATGTAGATTTGAAGTCCTCCTGATAGTAGTGGAAATGATCCAAATTTCTCACTGCCTCCTTAGAAAGCTAGATAACTTGCTAAGATAAATCACGTGCGTGTTATTTTCACCTAAGGCTGTAAATATGAGAAATGACCATTTACGTTTTCAACATATTAAAGGCTATGGAATACACGTGAAAGGATAGACATGAGCAAGCTAAAAATAGAGAATGATATTAGCACATTATTGACTTTTAGCCTATTTTGGTCAGAATTTAGTAATCTAATCACTCGGCGACTCATTGACCAATGCTCGAACTCTTGACCAGTGCTCAAACCTCTCGACAAGGGGCTCTACCATCCTTAAGCAATGCTCAGATTCTCTCCAACGTGGTCGAGACTCCCTCGGGTGGTTGAAATTCTAAGAATCAAAAGTCTAAAATGTCTTTAAATCGTCCAATGTTTGGATGTTTTTCAAAATTTGCCGAGTAACAATGAGAGCTAGGGCTAGCTTTTCTCCTGCCTATCGTAGACCGAAATGCATGGAAGCGTAGCTCAACTGGAAAGACAAGGCGATTTGTTTGCGTTTACGTCTCTAGCAAACCAACCAAACCGGATCTAGATGGACTTCTAACAGTGCGAGAAAACGACAAGAAGTCAACAACATACAACCCCCCCGCCGATTAATCTCCCCCAAACAAATCGAACAGAAAAAGGAAATAAGATATCGATTTTTCGTCTCAGAAGAAAAAAAACACAAATTTGGCAATTTGGCATTATATATCTCTATCCCAAGCCCTTTAAATCTCCATCCAATCAAGCATCGACACGTTTGGCACAAGGGTAATTGCGTAATTCAATTGCAGGCATAAGTTCAATGGCTCATACAAAATTTGGCCAGCTTTTTGTGGCGAAGTGTGGCCGAGTGTCGAGACAAATCAGATGAAGCTTTGTCTCTCTCTATAATTGCAGAAGAAAGTCCAAAAGGGTCCAAGCTGGCCTCTCCCATTCCCCTGTATAAAAAAGCTGTAAACTTTTACTTGGTGTGAAAACCAGAGAAGCAGACCCCGCTTCTCATCCATTTGATTGAATTGAACCCAATTAGTTCTCTGCAAATTCCAAAGAAACCCAGATAAGAAAGTAAGCTTCTTGAAGCTCAATCTCAAGCAATTGTGCAAAAAGTTTGGTTCTTGGGTGCAGGAGGAGGAGATGTGGGGATTTGGGGGTAGGTATTATTGGGGAAGAAAGGAGAGGAGTGATGAAATTGAAGGGATAGTGGTGGTGTTTGCATGGATGTCGAGCCAAGAGCGGCACTTGAAGAGCTATGTGGAGCTTTACTCGTCTATGGGTTGGAACACACTCGTCTGCCACTCCCAATTTCTCAATATGTGAGTTCCAATTTTTTGCTAGTTTTGATGTTTTTCTCTTCAAGGTTTTTGCTTTGCTTTTTTCCCAATTGGAAAATACAAGGTTCTTTTTTTCTAGTAAGGGCGTTGTTTGTTGTTTACCTTTATGGGTTTGACTAGCTTGCTATAATTGGGTGCTTTTGCTTTTTGGGTCCTTGGAGGAACTTGGTTGCTTAGCATTTTGAGTGTTGCTGAGTTATTCTGGTTAAATCAGTGCAATTTATCTGTCCTTATTTGATTCATTTTGGGTGGGAAATGCATTTGAGCCCCCGTTTCCTTGTTTTATGAAATCAGGACTATTTTCAGATAGCTGAACTTGCGGTTGCCATTGCTGACTTTAGTAGTTTTATGATTGAGGTGGAGAGCCTATGCGGAATTGCAGTCCTTGTCCTCTAAATTTAATGTGAATCTCCCAAAATAGAATCATTGACACAGTGCAATTTATATGTCGTTGATGAATGGACAATTCGTAGAAATAGTATTTTTTTCACAGTATGCAACTTGTTTTTTTTATACTTTTTGGCACTATGGAAATATTCTTGCTATCAATAGCAATCATGTTACAAATGAAGGACTGCCGTTAAGTAAATTGACAAAATTAAGCTTTTGTACAAGCATATTTGAGTGTCTGAGGACACTTTCTTCCCCTTTTCCTGGAGATACATGGTTGTTTTATATCTTCCTCCGTGTGATATAAAAATTCGCCTCAATCTTCAAATGTTCCAAAGCTCAACTTAATTTGTAGCTTTGGTGGCTTGAATTCCTCAATATACTTTTGCAGAACATGAGTTATTATGCGTGGATGTGTCTGTTATAATGGCTGCAATCATTCAATTATGTACAATTGCTGCCTCCAGAATAGAAGGGCAGCTTGTACTCATCCTTTTGATGTTGGACTAAGGTTTGATTTACATAATTCCTGCAGGTTCTTTCCTGAGAAGGCTACAACTATAGCGACTGATATTCTGAATGAACTTCTTGAGGTTAGTTCTATTATAGTTCTCCAACTATAGCTTCACAGGGACTAAAGGTTCTGTTTATTGATTGATTAACCTACCCGAAGAACTTGTGTTTGGGCTATGATATTGAGGAACCTGTCTGAGATCCAAAACCATATTCATTTAAGTAGAAGTTTCACAATTCCTGAAAGTGAAAATGACTGCCATAGTTGTATGATCTGTTTCCATAAAAAAAATTGGCATTTGTAAACAAACATCCAGAATTTTTGTCATGGTATGATTTTCCGGGGTAAAGCTAATTGCTTTATTTTATATCTTAAATGCAGGAGTTGAAGATTAAGCCTTGCCCTGTGGTCTTTGCCTCTTTTTCTGGTGGTCCAAAAGCCTGTATGTACAAAGTTATTCAGGTAAACTCCTTTTAGTATTGTATGTTCCTATTTTTTCATATTTTCTATGTTGAAAGGATTTGTCTGGTTCATGTAAAGTAGCATCCTGTTGATTGAGGCGATGTATTGACTGCATTTTTCGTTTGTGCAGATAATTGAGGGAACTTGTGAAGCAAAACTGAATCTGGTATGTTTTTTTTGTTTGCATTCCGTTAAGAATAATTTAACTAATCAAAAGAATATATAACGTAATTTTGTTATGGATTATAAATTTAAAAGACATTGATGCATCAAATAAGGGGACCAAAAAAGAATATGTTGTCATTCTCATTTGTTTATCTATCAATAGATTTTAGGTAATTGTTTATATTTTTGTGTTAAGGGCAATATAGTGTGTTCCATTTCGTAATCTTATTAATTTTCATTTTTGGCTTTGAAGGATGATTGTCGACTGGTTAGGGACTGTATTTCTGGCCACATCTATGATTCCAGTCCAGTGGACTTTACTAGTGATCTGGGTACTAAATTTGTTCTTCACCCAACTGTCCTGAAAGTATCCCATCCACCGAGATTTGCATCCTGGATGGCGAATGGCATTGCTTCTGGCCTTGATGCCCTCTTCCTCAACAGGTTTGAGTCACACCGTGCCGAGTATTGGCAGACTCTCTACTCCACTGTTGTAAGTTACTAGATACACTCCAGGTTATATTCTATTCTATTTTTAAAAAATTCATATTTGTTTCTCTTCCATTTATTCAGTATCATTCTTATGCAGGGCATGCAGGCCCCATATCTAATCTTATGCTCAGAGAACGACGATCTCGCTCCATTTCAAGTTATATATAATTTTTCTCAATGCTTACGAGAACTTGGGGCTGATGTTAAACTAGTAAAATGGAATGGCTCTCCTCACGTAGGTCCGCTTCTAAACCTAAACTTAAAGACTAAGTAACAAATGCTATTCACTGTATGTAGAGCTTTCTTACTAGTAAAATGCTTATTTAGAGAATAGTGTAAATATACTAAATCCTACAACTTGATTCAATGCTGTGACTCACAGGCCATTACAGGCATTATCCAATTGATTACAAGGCTGCTGTAACTGAGCTCCTTGGTAAAGCAGCTGGAGTTTATTCTCAAAGAATTCGACGACTGGAAGGAGAAACATTGGGTATGCCGGCAGCACAAGAAGAGATCGTTGACAATGAACCGATGAGTAGTCTCAGAAAAGCTGCTGGTGGCTCAAATGGGTTTCGAGGAGTCACTTTGGCATCCAGTGATCATTTCTTCACGCCCGGCTCAATGGAGTATGACGGAGGCAGAGATGTTGGGTCTATGCAAGACGAGCGCAAGGAAGGTTTGATTCACCTGCGTAACCCACCAACGCCAACCATGAATGTCCACGGTGTCCTTGGTCAGATCCTTTTCGACGTCTGTGTTCCAAAAACCGTTGAGGATTGGGATATAAAATCATCCTCGGGCTCTTTGAATGGGAACCGCAGTTCATTGGCTTCAAGAAGAAGGCATGCCCCTTTTAATCCAATCAAGTGCATACGTCGGTCAAGATTATAGAATGGTATAATTGGGAAAATTTTCTTATTTCTTTTTGTAATAAGGAGTATGATGATCTCTTTCTCCTACGTAAAAATGTACAGTGGCTTCACTGAAGAACCTTAGGTGGGTGATGAGAATCATTGTAATGAAAATTAGAGGAACTTGTAAATGTACAAAAAGAAAAAATAGATAAATTAATATTATTAATAATAATCTTCTGGCTTTTGTTGAATCCTATTCACTTTCTGTAATTTAAATTCCAATCTATTTCGAAACACAAAAATAAATAACAGAAAAGAAAAGAAAATATGTCTTTGTTTCTTTACGCAAATGAATTTCCTTGAATATCAACTCTTCTTCAAAAGTCAAAACAATTCTGAATCGCTGAATTTTGCAAAAAGGGAGAGATGAAGATACTGTTGACCGGCGCCTCCGGTTATTTAGGAGGCAGATTGTGCCACGAGCTACTGAAACAAGGCCATTCCGTTCGCGCCTTGGTCCGCCCAACCAGCGACCTCTCCTCCCTGCCTCCACCGTCACCAACCGGTAACGGTGGCCTCGAACTCGTCTACGGCGACGTCACCGACTACAACTCCCTCCTCTCCGCCTTCTCCGGCTGCGACGTCGTTTTCCACGCAGCCGCCGTGGTTGAGCCCTGGCTTCCCGACCCCTCCAAGTTCTTCTCCGTAAGCTCCCGCTTCTTCCAAAATCTAATCAAAATTCAAGTTTTCACCTTTTTGTGTATTTGATTCGTAAAGTTCGTTCCTTTTCAATTTCCGATCCCGTTAGGTCAACGTCGGGGGATTGAAGAACGTGCTGCGAGCGGTTCGAGAGACGAAGACCGTACAGAAGGTCATCTACACGTCGTCGTTCTTCGCCCTCGGACCGACCGATGGCCACGTCGCCAACGAGGCTCAGGTCCATCACGAGAAGTTCTTCTGTACGGAGTACGAGAAATCGAACGCTGCCGCCGATAAAATCGCGCTACAGGCCGCGCAGCAAGAGGAGCTGCCGTTGGTGCTGCTTTATCCCGGAGTGATCTACGGGCCCGGAAAGCTCACCGCTGGAAACGTCGTCGCTCGGATGATCGTCGAGCGGTTCAACGGCCGATTGCCTGGATATATAGGCTCCGGGAATGATAGGTATTCGTTTAGCCATGTCGATGATGTTGTGGAGGGCCATATCAGAGCTATGGAAAAAGGTCGAACAGGTGAGAGGTATCTGCTAACAGGTGAAAACGCATCGTTTAAGCACGTTTTCGATGTAGCAGCTGTGATCACTAAGACGCAGAGGCCTAAATTTGGGATCCCATTGTGGTTGATTGAGGTGTACGGATGGGCGTCTGTTCTTTTCTCTCGAATTACAGGGAAGCTTCCTCTGATTAGTCCTCCGGTACGTAATGTGGGTTTTGTGTTTGATCTTCATGTTGATGATAATGTTTGTCTTTGCTCGAATTTTGGGGTTTTGATTTTGTTGTGGTTGGTTCATTTGGTTGCAGACTGTTTATGTTTTGAGGCATCAATGGGCATATTCATGTGAGAAGGCGAAGCAGGAGCTGGATTATAGTCCCAGAGGATTGAAAGAAGGATTGGGGGAGGTGTTGCCTTGGCTCAAGAACTTGGGCTTGATCAAATATTGATCACATAAACTTTGATGAGGGTGGGGTTTGTTGTTTGCTTTATGTGACTCTAGTTAACCAGTAAACATTTTCAATTTGATGGGATGTGGCGCTAAAGATCGGTTCATTGATGTCAAGTTGGGTGTTTTTAGTGTGTTAACTTTTCTTTCAATAAGTATGTATTCCATCTATTCGTCTTCGTGAAATGATGCCACGATTAGTAGTTTACAAGTATGTGAGTGACCGTTGATATGTTGTGAGTTCCACATGCATCGACGGTCAAAAATTGCTTGCGTGCATAAGCGATTCACCTTAACACTGCTATTCTCACAAACTGCTTCACCAGTTGTAGAAGTTACAAAATCATTGGGCAGCTCAATAGCGCTAAAATTTGAAAATTTGAAATTGAACTGTTGGATCGGATTTGAAGCTAATTGATTGAGTCGTACAACAATGAAGGGAACACAAGCAAGCAGACCCTTTGATTGATGTATCACAAATTCGCAATTAATAAGCATAATTTATTTGAAATGATAGGAACTGTAGATGGAAATAAAAATACAATGAATCTTTTTAAAATAAGGACTTTGCCACCATTTCACTTTCCTTCCTCCACCAAAAACAAAAACGAAAAACAAAAAAACCAGAGAGAAAGAGAGATAGAGAAATTTTTGGTTTGGTTCTAGGGAAAAATGGTGGCCGCCAAGTTATCATACGAGGAGTCTCGACAGCAGAGGATGGAGGAAAACAAGAAGAGAATGGAGGCACTGAATCTGCCCCAGCTTGCTCAGGCACTAAAAGCCCCATCCTTTCCTAAACCCTCCCCTGTAAGTAAGCCTAAACCCTAAACCCCTCCTCTCAGCATCTATCTCTGTTATGCAAAAATATCTCACTCTGCTTTATCTTCTATTCTCAGATGAAGCGAGCAAAGCCTCGGACAGTCGAGAAGCAGATGGTTGTGGTGAGGAGGTCCTCTCGCGTCGCAAACCTGCCTACCCCTGTTTACAAAGAAGTGGGTTCTTTCATTTTCCATCTAGTAATTGTTCAAAGTTTCTTTCTTTTTGGGTTTTGAGTAACAAAGTTTCAATCTTTAGTGATGTTATGAATTGTGACAGATTGCTGTGGATCCATTGAGGATGCCCAGAAGGCATTCTACTTCGAAGCATAGGGATTTGTCGAACCGGGTATATGCTTCAGATGAAGCAAGAGCTGAGGCGACAGAGAGAGCCGAGGAATTAGAGTCGGGTTTGGGATCCGATCACCCGACCTTTGTGAAACCCATGCTCCAATCACATGTCACTGGTGGATTCTGGCTGGTAAACAAGTCGCTTTTCTTTATATGCTCAAAATGTCACCTTTCTATTGTATGCTTCTTATGTATTGGTATGAGTATGACATTGTTTGTCAAAAGGGCACATGATTTGAACAGCATATTCATCCTGTTTGGCTTCTATATATACTGGGTTGTTCTGTCCTGTTTTGCTTCTAGTTACAGACTTATTATACATTAAGCCTGTAATGGCCATAATCTCGTACCTGCCCTGCTCTGTAACTGATTTAAGGATCAATTTACTCTGTAATGAATGTTCTGTCATATTCGAAATTGTAAACTATGTCTTTCTAGGTGAATGGTTATCTCCTACTTGATTAGCCAAGTCTAGTTAGAGGGAAGTGGCATATCCCATTATGCTGATCACCCGTTATCTAAGTGATATGCTGCCTGCTTCATATTGTGCATTAAGGATCAATTTGATTCACCGGTAGAGGGGTACTTGTAATTGTTGTGTCTAATTTGGCAACAGGGTCTTCCAATCCATTTCTGCAACAAGAACCTCCCAAAGCGCGATGAATCGGTGATATTGGTAGATGAAGATGGTGACGAGTACCAGACTGTATACTTGGCCAATAAACGAGGACTCAGTGGTGGGTGGAGAGGGTTTGCAATTGCTCATGAATTGGTGGATGGGGATGCATTGGTGTTTCAACTAATCCGGCCTAAAACATTCAAGGTGATTGATTACTAAACTTTGATTTGGGGACTCAGGAGGGATACACAAGAGAAATGGTGTTTGAGCCAATGGTGGAAATAAGTATATTGCCTTCAATAGATACAAATTATTCTAACTAGATAAGTGCCGGACGAATCATGTGCTACGTTTGTCAGACCATCCTATTACTTTGTTTTCAGCTTTCAGTTTCTATTTTTAACTTTATGTGCTTGTATCATCATTTCAGGTGTACATTATAAGGGTGGAAAGAACTTAAGAGGGCAACCAGATTACTATTGAACTTTTGGCTCAATGTTGGGGATTGTTTTGTGATCTTTCTTGTAGAGAGGTAGAATTTACGTTTTGGTTCTCTCTTTCTTTTGCAGCTTATGCATTGACCAAAGAAATAGCAATTTGTGACCCGATTTCTATCGCTTCGTCGTCGTTTAGACCATGAATGACATTAAGAATTGTAGATGTACATTTCTTATGTACTTCCTTGACCTAGTCATAGAATTACCCTTTGGCTTATGGATTCCAAATTCCATATACTAGATATTGTCTAAAACTCTATTGACATACCAATCACATGGTTCCTTCTGCTGTGAGATTGAGATAGGTTAAACAATCATATCAAAAGAAAGGCTTGATTGAAATACTTGCAGAATTGGCATATATATATATATGCCAATTCTGGTTCTTTGTACATGTTGTTTTGTGAAAAAAATAAACAAAAACCATTTTATGTGAAAAAGAAAAAAAAGAACCAAGACAGCTGTATGTGCTTCAGAACCTGAGGTCTTCCATTGAAAATGGCAATCACAGCCACCCCAATTCTTTACAATTGTTCTTCCAGCAGTTTTACAAGTTACCGGAATACTATTTTTTTTTGGAACCAAGTTACTAGACCCGGACTAGAGAGGGTAAATCTGAAAGTTTGAATTTGAATCATCTGATATGATTTGACGCCAATTGATTGACTGCTACAGCAGTAAAAGGATATAACTACGTCCACTGACAAGTCACAAGCATAATTTAAGGATAATAATAATAATCAACTTCAAAATGTGATTCGTCCATTTCTCAAAGCAGTGGGAACTTAACGGTCGACTCGCAAGGAGGGTCTTTTAAATGTAGACTTTGCCACCATTTTCCTTCCTTCTTCCACTCAAAACTGAAACAAAAATCAGAGATAGAGACAGAGACAGAGAAATATTTCTGCTTGGTTATGGGGAAAATGGTGATGGCCAAGTCCAAGCTGTCCTACGAGGAGTCTCGTAGGCAGAGATTGGAGGAAAACAAGAAGAGAATGGAAGCACTGAATCTGCCTCAGCTTGCTCAGGCTATTAAAACTACATCTTCTCCCAAACCCTCCCCTGTAAGTAAGCCTAAACCCTAAACCCCTCCTTCTCTCAGTCAGCACCTATCTCCATTATGCAAAAACATGTCACTCCACTTTATCTTTCATTCTCAGATGAAGCGGACGAAGCCTCGGACAGTCGAGAAGCAGATGGTTGTGGTGAGGAGGTCCTCTCGTGTCGCAAACCTGCCTACCCCTGTTTACAAAGAAGTGGGTTCTTTCATTTTCCCTCCACTACTTGTTCAAAGTTTTTGTTTTTTAAAAAACATATGAAAGTTGCAATCTTTTGTGATCTTACAATTTGTGACAGGTTGTTGTTGATCGAGTGATGATACCCAGAAAGTCCTACTCTAGTAGGCACAGGGATTTTTCGAACCGGGTATATGCTTCGGATGAAGCCAGAGCTGAAGCCATGGAGAGAGCTGCGAATTTAGAGTCTGGTTTGGGATCCGATCACCCGATCTTTGTAAAAACAATGCTCCCATCTCATGTTTCTGGTGGATTCTGGCTGGTAATCAAGTCGCTTTATTTGCTCACAATCTCACCTTTTTCACTTTGTCATGTTACTTTTATGTGTTCTTTTGGTGTGGCATTGTTTGTTTTGCTAAAATCCCCCATATTTTGAACACTGTAGTTTACTTTATTTGTGCAATGTACTGCTCCATAACCAATTGAAAGACCAATTTACTCCTTAATGGATGTTCTATCCAGCTCGAAATTGTAAACTAAGTGTTTCTATGGCAATGTACTGCTTCATATTTTTTTGGTTACAATGTGCTGCTTCATATGTACTGCCCCATAACCAGTTGAAGGACCAATTTACTCCTTGTTAATGGATATTCTATCGGGTTCGAAATTGTAAACTAATGTGTGTTATAGAGCAATGTACTGCTTCATATTTTTTTGTTACAGTGTGCTACATATTGTGTAACTATGTAGGAACAGTCAGTTTGATTCAACAGTAGATGGGAACTTGTAATAACTCTTATCTAATTTTGGCAACAGGGTCTTCAAGTCCAGTTCTGCAAGGAGCACCTCCCAAAGGGTGATGAAGTAATGACATTGATAGATGAAGATGGCGACGAGTACCCGACTATATACTTGGCCCGGAAGACAGGACTCAGTGGTGGATGGAAGGGATTTGCAGTTGCTCATGATTTGGTTGATGGGGATGCATTGGTTTTTCAGTTGATTCGCCGTACATCATTCAAGGTAAATTATGAAGACACATACCATTTTGTAGAACTAAAAACCCACACCAGCAAATTCACAGACAAACAAACCAAATAACACAGCAAGCACACAGATAAAGCCCAAAGAAAATCAAGCAAGAATCGTTTATATCTCTCACACACAAAACTGAAATAACTAGACAGAGAGAGAGAGAGAGAGAGAGAGAGAACCAGAGCAAAGGAGAGAATCAAGTCTTGAATGAATCTCTAAGGACAAAATACACAGCTTCCTCTATATGCGTTCGGCAACACCACACCCTTGGAATACAAAATAGGACAACACCACCTTTTGAGAGACGTTGTGCTACAAAGCAAGAGAAAGCAGTTTAGAGACCTGGAAACCCCGAAAACCGGGAGCATGCCTCTGCTCCTTTAGAAATAAAAAACAACTACGCACAAGGAAAATATCCTGATGCATTTACTAGGGTACGATAAAATATTGAATTGGGCTTGGGCTTGGAATGGGCTTGGTTTAACTTCCAACACATTTGCTACATTTATTGGAAACTTTGTTTTTACTTTTGATCTTATGTATCTTTTCAGGTGTACATTTTGAGGATGGAAGATGGCAAAAAGCTTTAACTATTGCGAAGTTGGGTCAATGTTGGTGATTGTTTTGGGATCATTCCTGTAGAGCTTATGCATCGTCCACTAATGACATTTTCTACGAATTGTAAATGCATATTTCCTATGTACTCTCTTGACCTAGATTAATTTACTCTTTGGCTTATGAATTCACAAATGATCATATGTATCTGAAGAAAGAGGCACCACTTTTACAAGTAACTGGACCAATAGATCATGTCCAATACAAGGGGTCCAAAGCCTTAAAGTGAATGTGCAGCGCAGCCTAAATCTTTCATTATCTTCATATATAGGCTTAATATCCCAAAACGTACTTAAGGTTTTAAGAAACTATCAGATTGCATCATTAATGATTTTTTTTGTGTCATTCGTGGTCCTCAAAGCCTTAAAGTGAATGTGCAGCGCAGCCTAAATCTTTCATTATCTTCATATAGGCTTAATATCCCAAAACGTCCTTAAGGTTTTAAGAAACTATCAGATTGCATCCTTAATGATTTTTTTTGTGTCATTCGTGGTCCTCAAGGTTAATATGTGTGATCACAAATGGCCCATACTGTTAGGTTCCATAAAAAACTCCGTTAGTTTGCTGACGTGGCATATATATATATCACAAAACATTCATGAGATTCACGCATTTATCACAAATGGTCCTTGCGAAATTTTTTCATTTTTTCATTTAAAATTCATAAAATTTTGGTTTTCTTTTTAAATTATTTAAAAATATATATTGTATTTCAAATACGCGTGACAGTATATTTTTGAAGATGTGGGCTCCACATATATGCCACATCAACAAACTAATGAAGGTTTTTAAAAATAATTTAAAATTCATAAAATTTAAAAATGAAAAAACCATTTATAGAAGGATTTTAACCTTGAGAACCATTTATGAACCCTTCCCTTGGTTTTTTTATTTTTAAGTTTTGTGAATTTTTAATTATTTTTGTAAAACTCAATTAATTTGTTGATGTGACATATATGTGGAGCCCACATCTCTAATAATATACTGTCATGTGTATTTAAAATACAATATATATTTTTAAATAATTTAAAAAGAAAACCAAAATTTTATGAATTTTAAATGAAAAAATGAAAAAATTTCGCAAGGACCATTTGTGATAAATGCGTGAATCTCATGAATGTTTTGTGATATATATATATGCCACGTCAGCAAACTAACGGAGTTTTTTATGGAACCTAACAGTATGGGCCATTTGTGATCACACATATTAACCTTGAGGACCACGAATGACACAAAAAAAATCATTAAGGATGCAATCTGAACCTAACGGCAGGGACCATTTGTGATCACACATAAACCACGAATGACACAAAAGAACATTAAGGATGCAATCTTATTGTTTCGTAAACCTTAGGGATGTTTTGTGATAGCCTCTTTATATATAATGTTTATGAAATTATTATCATCGGAAATTCGAAAATTTTCCTTTTTTTTTGAATAAAAAAAACTTTGAGAGTCTCCCTCCACTATAGTCTATACAACTCTCCTGAACCCCAGAACCCCATAGCAGGGCAAAAGCTTCGGCTAGGCCTAAGTTTTGAGAGAGAGAGGTGATGGCTAAGCCTAAGTTGTCATACGAGGAGTCTCGTAGGCAGAACTTGGAGGAAAATAGGAAGAAAATGGCAGCACTCAATCTGCCTCAGCTTGCCCAGCTGGCTCATCCAGCCCCTGTAAGCCAACCCCTCCTTCCCTCTTCAGCTCTCTCTCTCTCTCTGACTCAAAACATCTCTCACTCTGCTCTCTCTTGTACGATCACTTTCTCAGGTGGAGCTCGCGAGGCCTCGTACGTTCGAGAAGCATCTTGTTCAGGTCCGGAGATCCACCCGCGTCTCGAATCATTCTTCCCCGGTTTACAAAGAGGTGGGCCGATTTCATTTTCCCCTCTACTAATTGTTCAAAGTTTCAATCTTTATGTCTTCTGAATGAAAAAAAGAAAGTTGCAATCTTTGGTGATGTTATGATTTCTCACAGGTTTTTGTTGAACGAGTAAGAATGCCCAGAATGTCCTACCACTCTAGTTGGCAGAAGGGTTTGTGGAACCGAACAAACGCTTCTGCTTCAGGTGAAGCCAGAGCTGCCGCATTGCATGAAGCTCAGAAATTAGAGTCGGGTTTGGGATCCGATAACCCGACCATTGTGAAAACGATAATCCCATCTTATATCAGTGGTGGATTCTTTTTGGTAAAACATTAAGCAAGTCAATTTGATGAACCAGTAGAGGGTAATTGTAAGGAGTAATTTATCTATCTGATTTTGGCAACAGTGTCTTAAACGCCAGTTCTGCATGGAGAACCTCCCAAAGGGTGATGAAGTTATGACATTGGTAGATGTAGATGGCAACGAGTACCCGACTCGATACTTGGCGCAAAGATTTGGACTCTCAGCTGGATGGAAAGAATTTGCATTTGCTCATGCTTTGGTGGAAGGGGATGCATTGGTTTTTCAATTGATCCGGCCTACTGCATTTAAGGTGATTGATTATTTCACATTTTGATTTGGGGTCTCAGGGATACATTACTTTTACATTTTTTATATAATTTCATTGATTGTGTTATCTGTTTAGGTGTACATTGTAAGAGCAAAAAGATCTGAAGGCAGCTCAGCTGGATAGGTAATTGGTTTCTGATCATTCTTGTAGATGTTGAATTTATTTATTGTTTCTCTCTTGTTTTTCTCCAACATGAAAATAACAATTTATGATCTGGGTTTTGTGCCTTGACCCAGTCATAGAATTACTTATGGATACAGAAATTCTATATTTAAGATATTGTCTCAAACTCTTTAAGTATTCTATCAAGCACATGGCTTGTTCTGCTGAAGTAAAATGGAACAATATTTCCAAGAGCTTATCTACCTGAGACCAGATTAGTATCAGAATTACTCAGCCATCAAGATATACGTCTACTCGGCCATCAAGATATACGTCTGCCATGATCATATGTAGAGTGGCAGTTACTACATCTATAAATGAAACAACTTGCATAGGCAAAGGACCACAAATGAGGGCGTAGGGCATGCATCTGTCTGTATTTATGTAGAAAACATGTAGCTTCTATTGGCTTGGCTGACATACTGTGATGCGAGTACACAAAGTTGCCTTCACAAGTGACAAGTGAATGAATTTTTGGTTGATAGGTCTCTTTCAAAAATCCATATAGGCGGCCTATTTTGTCTTCAAATGGCTTTTCTTCCTTGTAGAGATTTTGTCGGTCTTGATTCTCTCATCTATCTCATTTCCCATTCTCTTACAACCCTTTTATTTTTTGCAGGTAAAAAGAAGTTTGGGGATTGGGATAAGACTTGCATTTGTTTTGCGGTGAGCTCTATTTGTTCCTAGAAAGGTACATGTTTTGTCTAATAGAAAACACTACATTGATGCTAATTTCCACTGGTGTCCCTGAAGAGATATATATATATGACCCCATGATGAGCAAATATGAGTGGAGAGGACAGCTAGGACAACTATATTGCATGTTATGAGCATGTGGGTTCAAAGCCTAAAACTTTATCATTGCAAATGGCAATCAGCGCAAGTAATTGATTTAATTGCCAATCACAACACCCCAATTCACTATATGCAGGACTTTTCCTTTTCACCACGAAGTCATACTTTCACTCTTTGGCTTATGGTTTCCCAAACTCTATATTGTCTAAAACTCTATTAACATATCAAGGACATGGTCTGTTCTACTGTGAGAGAGGTCCGATGAGATGGGTTAATTTACCATATCTGGAAAAGAAAAAAAAAGAGGATACAAAGTTGTAATTTATTAATGCGAGCTTCCTGCCTCTAACCGATATAACTTTCGTATAAAACGGAACACAAATGAGAGCACAAGATCATGCATCCGTCTGTGTTTATAATGTAACCATGCATTTTATAATGGCTCGACTGACATGCTGGGATGCATTGGCACGAAGTTGCTTTTCACTTGAGTGAACGAACTTATGGTTTTTAGGTCTCTTTCAAAATTCAAGAAGCAACCTATTTTGTCTTGCAATGGCTTTCTTGTTTAACTCAAAAAATTTGAAGCTATGATCAAATACGAGTATACATTGTCTATTATAGAAGATTCAGGTGCTTCAGAACCTGGCAATGGGGACAGGCAAATGAGCAATTGACTTCATGCCAATCACAGCTTTGTTTTTTCAAAATTTTAATAACCTGTCACAAATTCCGGCTGCATTAACACATTTCACCAGTTTTACAAGTTAATAGGCCACTAGAGACGTTAAATTTGAACCCTCTGAGATGTGATGATAATTAATTGATGGAGTGCTCTAACACCAGTTTTATAGCAGTTAAAGCTAAAAACTAGGTGCATGTAATCAGTTTGAGGATAAAGGTAATACATAGACCATCGCTTGTATTGAAAGAAAGAAAAAAGTAATACATGAAAATAAATAATTAACAAAAAGAAAAAAGAATGGCTGCTGCTGACTAATCAGCTTCCAACTGTGATGCCTCCATTACTCAATGCAGTGGAAAGGAACTTAACGGTCGACTACCAAAGAGGGTTTTTTTATTTTTTTTATTTTGCCTCCATTTCCCTTCTTTCTTCCATCCAACGAAAAATAGGAGAAGAAGAGACAGAGACAGAGGCAGAGAGATCTTCCGTTTGGTTCTCGGGAAAAATGGTGGCGGCTAACTCTAAGTTATCATACGAGAGCTCTTTTCAGCAGTGTTTGGTGGAGGAAAACAGGAAGAAAATGGAAGCACTCAATCTGCCTCAGATTGCTCTGCAGGCTCATCGATCCCCTGTAAGCCAAAACCCAGCACCTCTTTCCCTCTTCACCTATCTCTCTCAATCTATGTGTCTCCCTCAAAACTTAGTTCAAGACAGCTCTCATCCCACTCTGCTTTCTTTTGTATTCTCACTTTCTCAGGCCATGGCATTAAAAATTGTATTTTTGAATGGGTTCTTCTGGGCCTCTGAAATTAAAAAACAAAAAACAAAAAAGCTGCAAATCTCTAGTGTCAGTGATGTTATGATTTCTGACAGGTTTTTGATGCCTGGAAGGACCTACCACTCCAACAGGCACAAGGATCAGAAGCTTAGGTAATTTATTTCAGATCATTCTTGTAGTGGTTGAATTTACTTATTGCTTCTTTCTTGTTTTTCTCCAACATAAACATAACAATCTATGATCTGGTTGGTTTCTGTCTCTTGACCTAGTCAAGTTATGTAAACCCAAAATTCTATACTTAAAAGATACTGTCTCAAACTCTGTTAATATTTCTATCAAGCACATGGCCTGTCCTGCTGTGATCAGATTGGGATAGGTGAATGCAGAGTGGGGGCACATCTGTTCTAGCCAACTTGACTAAAGTCCATACATGCATAAAAACAACATATTTGTTCAAAGAGGTCTCAGAATTGCTCAGCCATCAAGGCCTATGTGATGTCCTTATCTATAAATGAAACAACTTGCATATGCATAGAAACCATGTGCCTTGTATTGGCTTGACTGAAACTGTGATGCAAATGCACCGAAGTTGCCTTCACGTAAGTGAACCAAATTGTGGTTTATAGGTCTCTTTCCAAAATCCATATGTATCCTATTTTGTCTTCAAATGGCTTTCTTCCTTGTTTAATCCTCTTATCTCCTCACTCCCTTCTCTCTATTTCCCTTTTCTCACTCAACCCTTTTACCTTTAGCAGGTAAAACAGTTTTTGACTTGAGATGAGACTTATGTTGAGGTGAGTCGCACACGCATTTATTTAATTTGAAACTCTACATAGATAGAGATACCAATTTCAGGTTCTATGGATAGTTGTAGTTTTGAGGAGATGGAGTCAATCATCCCCAATCATATTTGGTGTCCCTCTAGGGATATGTATGTATGAGCACACGATGAGCAAATATGAATGGACAGGAGCTAATTCTTATCTTTAATTTCCCCCTTTTCTCCATATATTCATAAAAAGAAAGACAGCTATATTGCATGTTATGGGCATGTGGGTATTCAGAGCCTAAAACTTTTCCATGGCAATCAATACAAGCAAAGCAATTGACTTCGTTGCCAATCACAGCACACCACATTTTCCTTAAAGCCAAGATTTTTTTCCCATTTCACCACATCATATATATATATTTATTTTCTTTTTTTAATCCAATTCTTCAACATGGGCAAGCATTGACTAAACAAAGCCAAGTGGTGAGCTGTTGCCGTGGTTGAAGGTTTTTTTTTGTTGTTTTTATATATTTTTCTTGTGGTGGGACAGACAAATGGACACACGCTACTATTTTGCTTGCCAAAAAAGCTTTTAGCTTTTCCAGCTTGCAAAAAAACAAATAAATCCAACATGCCTGTAACATGTCATGTATGTATGAATATGAATGAACGAGCTCTGATTGTTTACAGCACTGCCTATTTTATGTGAATTTCGGTGGGGTGCCTGGGTGAGTCACAGACCAGACCAAGCCGATGAGCCATTGAAATCCCCAGCTGTTCGAGCTTCTGAGCCGCTCATTAATATTTAATAGCGCGACTGATTAATTGACTTCACTCACGCTGAGTTGGTTGTTCAGATAATTGGCGCCGAGAATTCCGCACTCTCCAGGTGGAACACAAGGGGTTAGGTTTCAAGCCAAAAAGTGGTGCCCCGAAATAAATGTGTCCGTGGGGCCCAGGCCATATGGGGCCCACATTTAATCAAAATCCCCCTATGTTCAACTACGTGACATTAACATAGTGCTTATTGTTTTTCATTTGCGCTGTTTCCTTGGTCAACAATGGACATTTCTGTAAGAAAAGGTTTTTTTTTTCTTTTCTTTCGAACAAAAAATAAAGGAGAGCTCCCGCGGCGAAAGGGATTAGTCATTGCTGCCGGCGGTGGATACCCTTGGGTCTCACCTAAAAAAAAAAAAAAAATTTCCCTAGAAAAAGCAAACAAGTAAAGAGCATGAACAAACTATTTATTAAAGTTAATAGTTAAAACGTTTTTCAATTATATACAAGTGATATTGAAAGAAGGAGATTCGAACATATAACTTTGGTGTATGAGTAATTGCTCGTGACCATTTAATTATAGACTAAAATATTCATTGGGATGCATTGGCACGAAGTTGCTTTTCTATTATATACAAGTGATATTGAAAAAAGGAGATTCGAACATATAACTTTGGTGTATGAGTAATTGCTCGTGACCATTTAATTATAGACTAAAATATTCGTTGGGATGCATTGGCACGAAGTTGCTTTTCTATTATATACAAGTGATATTGAAAAAAGGAGATTCGAACATATAACTTTGGTGTATGAGTAATTGCTCGTGACCATTTAATTATAGACTAAAATATTCGTTGGGATGCATTGGCACGAAGTTGCTTTTCTATTATATACAAGTGATATTGAAAAAAGGAGATTCGAACATATAACTTTGGTGTATGAGTAATTGCTCGTGACCATTTAATTATAGACTAAAATATTCGTTGGGATGCATTGGCACGAAGTTGCTTTTCTATTATATACAAGTGATATTGAAAAAAGGAGATTCGAACATATAACTTTGGTGTATGAGTAATTGCTCGTGACCATTTAATTATAGACTAAAATATTCGTTGGGATGCATTGGCACGAAGTTGCTTTTCTATTATATACAAGTGATATTGAAAAAAGGAGATTCGAACATATAACCTTGGGGGTTAGGTTTCAAGCCAAAAAATGGTGCCCCGAAATAAATGTGTCCGTGGGGCCCGGGCCCTATGGGCCCCACATTTAATCTTAATCCCCCTATGTTCAACTACGTGACATTAACGTAGTGCTTATTGTTTTTCATTTGCGCTGTTTCCTTGGTCAACAATGGACATTTCTGTAAGAAAAGGTTTTTTTTTTTTTTCTTTCGAACAAAAAATAAAATAAAATAAAAGTTTTTTAAAATTTATAAAAAGATAACTTAAAATAAAAAATTCCCTAGAAAAGGCAAACAAGTAAAGAGTATAAACAAACCATTTATTAAAGTAAACAACTAAAATATTTTTTTATTATACAAGTGATATTAAAAGAAGGGAATTCGAACATATAATATTAGTGTATGAGTAATTACTCGTAACCACTAAATTACAGATTAAAATAAAACATTGAGCTACAATCCCCATACATTAGCTAAAACGTTCATTGTGTAAATTATTTATTTTTATGATTTTTTGCATGTCGTCCGTGAGGGGTTGTTTTGCTTGACCGAGTCGTCACTGAAGTTGAGGTCTCCTCGCTGCTTAGAAAAAATCACATTATGTTTTGTCCCAACTGGTCGACCACATCAGATTCCTTACAATCAAGGGGCCCGCTGGAGCCCACACATGGCTTTCTTCCTTGTTTAATCCTCTTATCTCCTCACTCCCTTCTCTCTATTTCCCTTTTCTCACTCAACCCTTTTACCTTTAGCAGGTAAAACAGTTTTTGACTTGAGATGAGACTTATGTTGAGGTGAGTCGCACACGCATTTATTTAATTTGAAACTCTACATAGATAGAGATACCAATTTCAGGTTCTATGGATAGTTGTAGTTTTGAGGAGATGGAGTCAATCATCCCCAATCATATTTGGTGTCCCTCTAGGGATATGTATGTATGAGCACACGATGAGCAAATATGAATGGACAGGAGCTAATTCTTATCTTTAATTTCCCCCTTTTCTCCATATATTCATAAAAAGAAAGACAGCTATATTGCATGTTATGGGCATGTGGGTATTCAGAGCCTAAAACTTTTCCATGGCAATCAATACAAGCAAAGCAATTGACTTCGTTGCCAATCACAGCACACCACATTTTCCTTAAAGCCAAGATTTTTTTCCCATTTCACCACATCATATATATATATTTATTTTCTTTTTTTAATCCAATTCTTCAACATGGGCAAGCATTGACTAAACAAAGCCAAGTGGTGAGCTGTTGCCGTGGTTGAAGGTTTTTTTTTGTTGTTTTTATATATTTTTCTTGTGGTGGGACAGACAAATGGACACACGCTACTATTTTGCTTGCCAAAAAAGCTTTTAGCTTTTCCAGCTTGCAAAAAAACAAATAAATCCAACATGCCTGTAACATGTCATGTATGTATGAATATGAATGAACGAGCTCTGATTGTTTACAGCACTGCCTATTTTATGTGAATTTCGGTGGGGTGCCTGGGTGAGTCACAGACCAGACCAAGCCGATGAGCCATTGAAATCCCCAGCTGTTCGAGCTTCTGAGCCGCTCATTAATATTTAATAGCGCGACTGATTAATTGACTTCACTCACGCTGAGTTGGTTGTTCAGATAATTGGCGCCGAGAATTCCGCACTCTCCAGGTGGAACACAAGGGGTTAGGTTTCAAGCCAAAAAGTGGTGCCCCGAAATAAATGTGTCCGTGGGGCCCAGGCCATATGGGGCCCACATTTAATCAAAATCCCCCTATGTTCAACTACGTGACATTAACATAGTGCTTATTGTTTTTCATTTGCGCTGTTTCCTTGGTCAACAATGGACATTTCTGTAAGAAAAGGTTTTTTTTTTCTTTTCTTTCGAACAAAAAATAAAATAAGATAAAAGTTTTTTAAAATTTATAAAAAGATAACTTAAAATAAAAAATTCCCTAGAAAATGCAAACAAGTAAAGAGTATAAACAAACCATTTATTAAAGTAAACAACTAATTTTTTTTTTTTTTTATACAAGTGATATTAAAAGAAGGGAATTCGAACATATAATATTAGTGTATGAGGAATTGCTCGTAACCAC